CGTCGATACTTAATTAGATATTTCCTTCTATACTTTTTAGCACGTAGCTATTTATTATTAGCATTATTCTTCCGACATCTGATTTCTTTTTAATTATAGGAAATGCGTTTTTCTAAGGTACATAAACTTTTGGGATTGACTGTATAACCAATACATCCTTAAAAGGCAAAGCCTCTATTTTCTGATGCTTCTTTCATTCAGTTTTTATTCCTTTTTTAAATAGGATTTATTCACCTTTACTGGATGTGTAAAGTAGAGCTGCTTGGAAACAGACGCTCTGGCAATCGGAGAGATTCTCGTCTATGGAGATCTGCATTCCGAACCCAGCGTCCGGGTTCACATTAGGCAAAGTGAGCAGATCGGTCGACCTCACGAAGAAGTTCCCGTGGAACGTGTGAATGCTTAAACCGCGCGTGCACCTGATTCTCATCACCGCTTCGAAACCGATCTTCCTGGCTAAATACCGTCGCAACATTCTGCCGAGAGCGTCCGCGTGTTGCGGTATCGAACTCCGGAACAGAGGCAAGTGGTATATGCAGCCTCCGGAGAATTTACACATGCCGGCTGTAAAACGAAATCTCCATTCGATCCCCATTGTATTTAATTAATTAAGCTATTTTAATTGTACGTACAAAGAGTAGCTAGGTCGCAGTATTGGCAATTCAAAAGGAATAGATCGACGGCGATTTGTTGCCCGCTGCAGTCGAGCGCTAATCTTTTGTAGAAATCTGTGGCTGGATTTAAATGCGCCACGTCTTTGCTGGACCTGTTGTTCGGATCTTCGCGCGCTTGCAAAATCCCTGGGCCGATGTTCGGCAGACAAGTTTGAAACACAGTCACACGTCCACCGGTTGGCGACTGAAAATTGTATCTTACATTTCAAATATCTCTTTACATTTGAAAGAATGTATGTGACTCAAGGGAAACCGGTATTTTTCGGTAACTGACGATTGAGCAATTCTGCTTCCAGATTTGTTTTTTTATGAGAAACTATATAAGAATCACGTAGTAGATATTGCAAAATAAGAAACAAGTTTTTGGTAACAAGTTCGACTGTATTAGCAGCGACGAATGGAAAAGAGATAAAGAAAGGGAATGTGTTACATCTTGTATGTATCTGTGTAAAGAGAGTCCGGAATCCAATGAGCTATTTGTACGTACCATGAGTTTGTACGCGGCCTGTAATGCCGCGCCCAACGCGCTATTCGTATCGTGGGTCCCTTGGAACTTCGTCGGCAACTGAGCTAGTAAATCCCTTACCAATTCCTCCCGTTCCTTCAAATTAACGATCAGATTGTCCGGGCAAGGAAGAAAAACATCTGCGCAAAGAGTTTTTTTTATTATAATTAGCAGACTGCGAATTTTTGGTACCAGTTTAAAAATTGTATTTTCAATAAGAGTTCCTTTTATCATTTTTAATATTATTATCATAAATGCATAGAAAATCTGATAAATAGTCTAACACAGGAAT